GCGAGCAGAAGCTTAAAATTAACAGAAGTTGCTGCTGACACACACACAAAAAGGTAGTCCTGAAAAGGGCTGTTTGATCTATGCACTGTGAACACAAAGGATGGTAAGACTCTAATATAGATCCCACTGCAATGAAAATTACAGTAATGTAGCACAATACAGCAATAAACACAGGATGGGGTACACTACATAATAGATAACCCACCACACTGCAATTCACTGTAATATAGCACAATACAGCAAATAGCATATAATATAATGCTATAACATAAATAGCATTGTTTAATTAATATAGCAGTAACTATCTCTCTATAAAAATACACTGTGAGCTGTCCCTATCTACTCCAAGTCTCCACACACACAGATGAAAGGCTGCCGAGAACTCTAGTTTTTATAAGGATGTGGCTGGCACGTAGGAAAACTCACATTACTAACCTATCTGAGCCACATAACCACAGTTCAAAGGCTAGAAAGATTGGCAATTGGTTGCTATGACTGTGAATGATCACAGTAGCTTGCCATTGTTCTAATCTGTGAATGACTTGAGTTTGGGTTGAGCTCATGGTTGACCCAAACCTAAAGCTCATCCCTACTGCTTACCATTCATCTGTGCTTACGTAGAGCATATAAGACTCTACACACCTCTAATACAAGAATGTAATGGTGGGCAGGTGCTGCTTAAACGGAACCATGGAAGCTTCTGCACAAACTCTGCCTACTAATTTCTGTGATAACTATGTAGAAATGTATTTTTTATTTATGTTTTCAGGAAGAGCCTTATGTGATGTTTAAGAAGTCTGATACCCCTCTGTTTGGTAAGGACCGATTTGAAGGCTTTTGCATCGATCTCCTAAAAAAGATTTCAGAAATCCTTGGATTTGAATATGACATACGTTTAGTGGAAGATGGTAGATATGGATCTCAAGATGAAAAAGGACAGTGGAATGGCTTGGTGAAAGAGCTAATTGATCATGTAAGTGATTCCTTCAAACTTTATTAAGTAGCAGCAAATACTGTATATCTTACATATAAATGGGTAACATTATGAGATGTCTTGATGGCTCAGGATTATTATGGATAAGTAGAGCTTCCAATAGTAATCACAACAGAATGTAAAATATTTAGGAGACCTATATGATCATTTTCATTCTACAAACATGGTATTGTCTACTCAGTATACTTTTTTTAATATAAAAACACTCACTTTATAAGTAAACCAGAGGATATAATGATAACCAATTATAATGATAACCAAAAGTGCAGGTAGTGGCATACAACCATTTTAACAAAAACATTTTTTTTTAAATGTATTGATGTTTATTATATCTTATATTTATCTTATGGTTGTATGCAATTTAGGAAGCAGGAATGTATTTCATTATATATTGATTGTTTTTTAAGAACAAATCACGTAATATGTTTTTGAAGGACAAATCACGTAATATATGTTATCACAGTGAAGGTTGTAGTTGCACTGAGACCTAGAAATTAAAGAAATTAAAATATTTCCAGTTAGTACCAATTTGACACATAAGGGTCTCCCAAACAGGCTTCATGTTTTCTAAAATTCAAAATTATGTAGAAGCTTTATCCACCTTCTCTGCAACTTAAAATACACTGAAATGTCAAACAGGAAGAGTAATGGCAATAGTAGTTTGTATGGCCTGGTAAATCGGGTGCAAATATCTTACTACCATGCTCCCCAAAAGAAGTAAGAAGCTGGTTAGAATGTTAATCTTCCAGCAACCATCTAAAACGGATACAGCTACTGTGGTTAAAATAACCTTTGAACCATACTGTGGGCAACATTCACTAGTAAGGTGTATAAAGTTGAACAATAAATACTATACTACAGGAAGGTGCAACAGTACAAGTGTGTACAAATTGCACTTATGCCCATGTGTATTGTTGAGTACTGATAAACCAGTTTATTTCTATATCCATCATATGGAATGTGTGTACAAATTGCACTTATGCCCATGTGTATTGTTGAGTACTGATAAACCAGTTTATTTCTATATACATCATATGGAATCCCAAGCCCAGGAGAGAAGGCAGTAATTCACCTTCATGCTGCATAAAAGGAAACACAGGGCTGGATGTATGCACATGTTTGTATTTAGGAGATGTATGTCATAGTTGCTTTGTCAGTGGTAGATGAAAGAACTCCAGGATGAACACATAGGGGTCTATTCACTAAGCTGCCATAGGCAGCCGAGTGAATGACCACCCTCTGGCAGGCTACTCGCTGCTGTTCGGCCTATTCTTAAAGATGCCGAACAGCAGTGGGACCGAGCAGAACAGAAAGAGTTAAAAAGGGTAAAATAGAAAACGTAAATAGAAAATGATTGTGCGGAGCTAGCAGTGACAGCTAGCTCCGCCCAATAGCTTCCTATTGTCTGGCGGCTCTGCTGCCGTCAAAAAAAAAAGAAAAAAAAATTCCTATTGAAATGCATTGGTACATTACTATTGGCTATTTCAATTTGCAATAGCCAATAGTAAACTAAATACAAGAGGCATATGTATTCTTACTTGAATCTTGGTGTACTTTGTGTATTTTTTCCAGATCTGTGCAGTAATTCAGTATAATACCTTTCATTTGAACAAGAGCTTCCTGGTACAAAGACCTGTCACCACTGTTCTCTGTCTTTGTGCAGGGATACTGGTCTTGTATCCAGGGGTGTCACCAAGCCAGGTGTCACCCTGTGTGGCCGTCGGGTGTTACCTGGTGCGTAGGTCATAACATTGTGAATAATGCACTGCAGGTTGCCATCTTGGTGATGGATGCTGACAAAGAGAGGAGGGAACGTTCGTCCGGTGGGATAAGGTATGCTATCGGGTCCCACTCCTCTCTTGTGCAACTGTCGGGCTCTCGGTCCATGAGTTTTCAGAGGGGGTGACACTAAAATGACTCTCAGTCATTTTGGTGGCATCCCCTCTGATGTTGTCACCCGGTGCATGCTGTAACCCCCCTGTGATGCCCCTGCTGGTATCCACTCTCCTCCTGTACCTATCTGCAAGCAGTCTTTAGGCCTGCTGAGTCCCCCTCACAGCTCTGCTCCCTGCACAGGCTATGTGCAACACAGTTATGATGTCAATGCTACTTTTACAATGTAATATCTAGGTTTTCAAAGGCATTAGGTACACACAAAGTGAATTTATATAATTTGTGGTCATTGAGGAATATAATTAAATAAAAGGTGTTGTGCCCAGAGTTCAGCTTGAAGCAATATCAATCTACATTCACAGCTCACATCGTAAATTTCTTAAGCAGCATGCAAAACGTTGCTAAAATCTTTCATTTCTTGTACAGTATATAATGTATAAAGCCACTTGATGAGTAAGGGTTAAACACAGCTGCTCTTGGAAATTCTCTGCTGCCTATAACCATTCTCAAAATTACCACTACTGATCTGCACGCAATCAGAGACTCGGTTTTCAAGAGAGAAAAGGTTAGGGAGAAATTTCTGATTTTTTTTCTTCATTGGTTAAACTACTGAGAATCATTTTAATGGATGCAATGTCCTCTGCTTTTTCAAGAGCTATCATTATTAGCAATATGAAAACATGTCTCCATGGCAACAAGCTCTGCTACTAATCAAGCTTTGATTGGTCAGCTTTGATGCTTCCATTCTCCCCAGTTATTAAATGTCTTTTTAATTGTATAAAATGTGGCAACATTGAGGTTTAAGGAACTTGTGTAAGATTGTTCCAATAAAAAAGAACCACATTAAGAGAAGCCTCTATGTACATCATCTACATTGTCCCATACTTCTGTGCCACATGAGAGTACAAGTTCAGCAGTCAGATTTTCTGAGGCTTGCTAGCAGAAAGAAAACATTGACTTGATTACAGGATATTACTTCTATATTTAGCACGATGAATGTTCTCTACATTTGTGGTCAGGGCTGTCAGCAGGGTCAGTTCACAAGGGCATTTTTCAGAGTTACAAGCCACCTAGGTACTAGACATGTAAATTTCCTTTAGCTCCAAATGGATATTTGTGTGAATTTCATTAAATTCGGACATTTAGATGCATCTGAATTTCAAAATTCTAATGCATCCGAATGCAAATAAAATCTGAATGCTTTCAAAATCATTCAAAACTAAACAAATCCAGACATGTGACTGTTCTCTGGCAAGTCAGATGGGTTATTTTTGGGCTGTTGGAGTTACCTTACAGGCACAGTCAAGTTTCCAAAACGAAAATTCCGATGGATCCAGAATCTGAATAACAAACCAAATCAAATTTTGTATCTGAAAGATCAAACAAAACATACTTTTTGCAGGGTTGCATGTCTACTAGGTACTCTCAGGACCTCTTGGACCTCTTGTAATAGGTCATGCCACAAGGTTTGTTACCTATCCAGTATATCATCAGGCAGATATGTTAAGAAGTTGCTAATAATGTTAATAAGCAACAGGAAAATTTAAATTAATTGCATAATTAAAGTATATTTCAGTTACAGGTGCGATTTTAGGGCTGACTTCTTTCATTGTATATAAACTCCAGGGTGGGATCTCCCTTTCATAGTTTCTACTTCTATAACTGCCTGCTGTGCAATTTTGAAAGTTCCCACTAACCTTCAGGTTTTTCCAATGTTCCTTTTGCCTTCTCTATATTTTAAAATACAGTGACAGTTCCACAAAGAGAAATGGACCTCCTCATGGTGGTCAGTGTACAGACGTGGGAAATCAAGCATTAAATTCTCATCACCACTTCCTAAAAAAAAAGAAGTACCAGCCCGGTGATTTATCTTATCTTAAAGTGACAAAAAACTCAGGAGGAAAATCTTAAAAATGCATTTATATACCTAAACTATTAATACAAATGTATCTTGTTTGTGTATCACTTGACTGTAGATCCTCAAATCATCTCTGAATTCATGCTGGCACTGTCCTTCCTACTGGAGGGTGGCTACTATTGTTCGACATGGTCATGCTGTTGTCAAACTAAATCAGAGAGGGGCATGCAAGTGTATTTTTAGCTAATAAAAGTATGGCACCATGCAATGTTTGTTTTAAGGTGACACTAAACTCAGAATTTAAATCTTAAAAATGCATTCAATACATTAACTATTAACAAAAATTTATCTTATTTGTGTATCACTCAGCTGTAGATCCTAAAATCATCTCTGAATTGGTGGTGACACTGTCCTTCCTTCTGAAGGGTGGCTACTTTTGTTCCCCATGTTCCCTGTGTGTGTTGTAAAGTAGCCACAGCTCCAAGCTCACTGCCATGATGGACTACAATCTCATGTTTAGTTTACTAATTTGTATTGGATGGCAGTCTATCACAGGAGTGAGCTGAATGCATTTTTAAGATTTAGTTTCATTTTAACTTACTGAGTTTAGTGTCATTTTAACTTACTTACATTACTGAAATGTCATAATGTATATTTGGGTTAATTATTTTATAAATAATTGATAGGATATTAACTGATGAAACTATGAAAACAAGGAAAAACAGGAAAAAGAATATATCCTAAACAACATGACACCCATTTAACATGCTTTTAGGCATGGAATACGGTGTCTGTATAATGGTACAGGAAGTTGATTTCATGAAACTGCATAGCTCAGTGTCTTTGCTATTGCTATTTTTCCCTTCTGCAGGATGGGGGGTGGGGAGAGGGTATAAGCACTGGGAGACAATATGGGAGTATGTTCTGACCTCCAACACAAGTATCAATGGCCATTAACCAGAAACTCTTAGCACCAAGAAGTATTCCACAAGGCTACCAGTGGTAGTAATAAGGGTTGACCATTTAGGGTACACAAAGGTGGCCTGAGGCATTCAGTGCCATCAGCAAGCAATAGAGGAAACAATTTCTGGGCAGATAACTTCAAATAATGCTATGCAATTTAAATCTTTAAGGTGATTGCTTTTAAATGTTCTCCTAGGGACCCTTTAAAACCAGCCCGACTATTGATGCTTAATATTTTTCACCGGCAAAATATAATTTAGAATGG